ATTTTCAATTAACAGAACAGATATATGCATGTGATAGCAGTCCATGCTATAACGAAGGAATTTGTATAAATGATGACTTGGACGCAACAAAATACTCCTGCCAATGCCCACCATGGATTACTGGTGCTAACTGCGAAGGTAGGTCAGTCAATACAGACAACATACGTACATGGGAGGTACTTCTATTTCATAGCTCTTTCGTCTTTTGTTAAAATCTATTGCACGCATAACAATTTTTATACCTCGATAAAATACATGTTTCGCTTTTTATAACAAGCGGAAGCTACATGTTTCTAAATACTGATTGGAAGTGTTTCATACCACTCTTTTAAACACTTTTCAAGGCAGCGGTTACTTATAACGATAAGATCAATGCTAAAGTTCACTAGAACTCACGGTGTAAAGTTACTGTAATTGCAATACAGTTAATAGTTCGATTTGAGGCTATAAGACAAAGGAAATTAAACTTGAAAAAATAGGTTTTTCCGAGACTGCACGGATTTAGTTGTTGCCATTTCACTAGTGATTCTTACTGTTGAAGGTCACAAAGAACTTGATAAATTTAGTTGATAGGAACATTTTCAATGACAATTTCTCTTTTTCATATCTCACAGTGTTGTCAAGTGCATGCGAAAGCCAACCATGTCAAAATGGCGGCTACTGCAGTAGTGACTTGACTGTAGATCCTTCTCAATACAAATGTGGCTGTAGCGCCTGGTTCACTGGAAAACATTGTGAAGGTACTTAATGAAATGACGACAACTATATATAACAATGTTAATTAAAGCTAATGAAGTTCACAATATTGTTTATGGAAAACATTAAAGAACACGTAGTATATTACTTCGAGAGGTCACCGCACCATGCCACAGCGGCCATTGAGCCCGCGCAATAAGCCCTTTGCAGCTAGCCATTCACGTAGTACAAAACCGCCACGCTGCTGGAGAGCACTGGGACAAGACAAACAAAAGACATACATAATTTGAAATGGTAATTTTCCTTGTTTGTCCTGTCCCAGTGCGACTTTAGATCTCCAGCACGGCGGTTTTATACCACGTAAATGGCTAGCTGCATGGGCCTATTTAGGCTAGACGTGTGGAGTTACTTTTGTGCAGAGAGAAATCAGTTTTAGAAGAGTATAAGTGAGAGAACGACCTTAATATATTTTCATGTTCTCGATCACCTTTTGAACGAACAGGTAGATACTGACATGTTATCGTGTACTTAAATCTTTTAGCAGTGAAACAATGGTACGTTGACTTTCATTATCAGGAAGTGTTTTTTATGTTTTCGTTTTTTTTTTTAATGTAAGGGTTGTTGCAAAAAAATGAAAGAATAAAATTTTACTAATCTTAGAAAATCTTGTTTGTTTGTTTGTTTGTTTGTTTTTTTTTTCGGCGCAGTTCAAATATATCCATGTGACAGCAAACCTTGCTTGAATAATGGCACCTGTAGTAACGATCCTCAAGATATTTCAAAATACCACTGCGCATGCCCAAAGTGGATTGTGGGTGACAAATGCCAAGGTAACGGAGCAAGAAAATTCTCACTGACATCTAATAACTCATCACAATTTTCCCTCAATTCATTCAAGTGTACTATTGAGTTAGGAATGAACTGGGAGAATTGTAAAGGACTGAAAGAAACCGTTCTTAGCTATATTTAGACAAGGATACCTTCAATTATATGATTCCATATTTGAGCAAAAAAATCCGTGCTTCTGGCCGGACGGCTAACATGGTTCTAAACACTATATTGGGAAATTAGACGCTTCAGGGTTATGTGCTTCTGATTAGAAAAGAATACCGACGTCAAAGTTAAAAAGGCATACATTTTTACACTCTGAGCGAAATTTGAATGTTGTATTCCCCACTAACTTAGCAAAGCGTTCATTTGTACTTCAACAGTAACACAAACAATCTGTGACGTTGCAAATCCGTGTGGGAATGGAGGCAATTGTAGCAGCACTTTCAGTAGTCCCGAGGAGTACTCTTGCAGTTGTGGTGACTGGTTTACTGGAAAGAACTGTGAAGGTGATTGGTTGAATGGTTTGCGGACCGGCGGTTAAGGCGGTACGACTGGATTTTTAGGGGGCCAAATAACCTTAAAATTCAGGATTTACCACGACTCCAGTAGCAAAGATAGCGAAACACTTTCACCAGGGCTGCTTTAGATAAGATAAAAAAAGTGCTGCAATTGCTGTGGCTAAGGTGTTATATTAACGATGGCAACGTTTTGAAGCCATTAATTCTTTTACTTTCTCTGGAATCGACACTTACTACCCGGGAGGTTTCTTCTCAAATGACTGTAGTTTGTGTTGTAGCTGCTTCGATTGTCGTTAAGCTTCGAATACATTCTGTTTGAAAGATTGAGTTATCGAGATAGATTGGAACTTGAGCGTTACAAATACATTAACAACTAAGTAATCGTGGTCATTAGCTAATAATTATTAAATAATGCGAAAAGAATCTCTTACGGACTACCTCTACAGCTTATCCTCTACTAAGCCCGAAATAAACTACTATTAATGCAACAATTCACACAATTTCAAGTAGCGATAATTTCATTTGTTTGAAAAATAACTACATTGTTTGTCCTTTGCCTTTTCAGATAGGATATTTCCGTGTGGTAGCATGCCTTGTGTCAACAATGCGACATGTAGTAACGATGAACACGACGTTTCGTTATATCACTGCCAATGTTCACATGGTTTCAGTGGTAAAAACTGCCAAGGTAATGAGTCTTTACAAGGTTATTAATGACGTTAACCATGTAACCACGACAGCAACGGCAACAGGAACCGGTCAAAAAGCAATGCGTTAGATGAGTAAAACAACTGCCACCTGGAACTGAATCTTCATCAAACTTTTCGATTCATTCATTTGCAGTCGCTGTACGACTTCAACTACAAGTGCCCCCCTCCCCCCCCGGAGTTAAAATACTCGCGAAAAAGTTTTTAAAGAATGCCATTATCTACTTAAACAGTGATTTTCTCGCTGCCGTTGCCATCATGGTTGCTTAAATATACTGTCTATTTATATTTTGCGCTCAAAATACGACTTAATATTTCGAAAAGGGCCTGAGCTTTCCCAATCTATTCCCCCTCCTCATTCTTTCATTTTTTTTATCGAATTCTCTCCATGACTGATTCTAAGTTCATACTTTCATATTTATTTGCCAATAATTTCTGTCTGCAAGTGCGGCTGCAACTAAAGGTAGATAGAATAAGGATTACTCAGCGTATGGATCGAGTTGCCGCAAAGATATACAATATAACTATATTCACAGCAGCTGCACGGTTGCATATTAAACCCTCCGTCTTTATATAATAACCGCTTATTGTGGTTGTCATAGAACGGGATTCCATCAAAGTATTTCGAAATACGAACAATAAAATTATAGAAAAGAAGTCGCTTTACGTTTTGTTTCCTTACAGTGCCGTCATTCAGCAAGATCGCTTGCTTCAATACAGTGAGCGGTTATCTGACAGATGTGCTTGGCGACTTTAGAGTCCCGGTTCAACAAAACAGATTCAAGGAAGTGATTAGTTTTTGTTCTGAGCTAGCGTTTGACAAAGGCTACAGGTTATTTGCCTTGGGATATAATGGGCGATGTCGGTCAGGACCAAACGCAGTAGATGAGTACCATGCCAAGAGTTCCGTGAATGACGCAAACTGTCCAAATGGAATAGGCATTGATAAGCGCATTGTTATCTACACGTTTGGTAAGTTCAAGTAAAACTGCTGAAAATTTTAGACTTCGGGCAAAACAGCTGGACTAGTTAAATCACATGATATTGTTTTGTTTGCAAATTGGACGCGCATAATAGAGCACATAGTCATGCCACGGAATGTCTCACTTTTGTTTCTTGAGAGGTGTCCTAAAATCAAATGGCGCCGGGTGCTAAAGTTAAATGCTAATGGTATTACCATTATCTGCGCAGGGAAAAGAGCTAGAATGAAGGAAACTTTGCTTTCCACATTTTTCTCATGACGGAGCCAAATATCACTTCTGATCAGTAAACTCCATTCAACTGTATTTCTAACACTCACCGAATAAAATTCGCACTTTGTCTTGTCTACGGACGGAGGTGCTCTTGATCATGAAACCCAATCAAAGAAAAATATGAATTAGTTTATTTCGACTTAAACACTTGAATAGCTATTGGTGACTTTCAGCCACGTCATAGAGCGAAATTGTTCCAGCTGAGGGAAACGCTTTGTTCTTGTCCACTAGGTAGCATTACTTCCCGCCGAAACGCCAGCTGCAAACCAGCAATAACATAATTTAAATTAAAAGGCCTTCTTTTCAGACATATAATTTCCTTCCCATTTTAGAGAAGATTCCACAGTTAGTTCCCTTGGGCTGTTATAAAGAGAAGAAGAAGAATCGGTTGCTTAACATCATGTTTGGTGATTTTAGAAACTCGCATAATGATTCAGATCCTTATGCGTCAGTCGTGAAATGTGCGCACCTCGCACGTGACATGGACTACGAGTACTTTGCTGTGCAGAACTTTGCCACCTGCCGAACAGCTGTGAACATAGTAAACAACTATTACGCATACGGAGAAGCACCGCCAGAAAATTGCGTTGGAGGAGTTGGGGCAAAGCTGACAAATTTTGTGTATCGTGCCACTATGGTTGGAGATAGTCTGCAGACGTCTTCTGTGAGACAGCTATAAACGTGAGTAACAAACTACCCTTGTTTTGTCCAGTCTATGTGAAATTTCTTTTCCATTATTGTCTGTTTGTTTGTTTTATAAAATGTGTTCACCACCGTCACCGCCACATCTTAACTGCTGCTGCTGATACTATCACTACTACTACTACTACTACTACTACCACTACCACTACCACTACCACTACCACTACCACTACCACTACCACTACCACTACTACTGCACTTATTCATTCTTTTACCAATTGATTTAGATAACCATGGTAAAGGTTGTAATGGAATTATTTTACAATTTAAAGAACATTTTACCTTTACAACTAATTGCATTACGTTTTGGAATATTTATGTTTTTCAGATTCAGAAGATCATCGAGTGCAATTCTGACATGCATCTCTGTGGCTTAGATTTTAACGACAATTTGGCCAAATCTTCTTATAGTTTGTCGATATTACTGAATCTCTAATAGTACAAATGCGCTAGGACCATTGAATACAAATGAGCTGTATATTATTTCAACTAAAGAAAATAAACAGTTAAATGGACTTAACTGAAAATCTTATCGACTATTTAATATACATTCATAAGCTATTATATTCTTTCCATTGCGTGCACAGGTTTGATTTTCTTGTGTAGTTAGGGACATTAGACCTTTCCCTTGAACAAACATAAAGAACTGAGGCCGAGGATCGGATGGGCTGCCCACTCAAGCTTCGAGCTGGCGCTTTTTTTGAAAGGATGCAGGAAAGGTCTACTAGTGCAATTTGTGAAAGGAACAATTATCGCAAATTGCCCATCAAGCTATAATTAGTATCAACGGCCATTTTTGTACAAGCCTTCAGGTTATACATTTCTTGGTACTTTTCATTCCGAGCTAAGAAATGTTAGAAATATATTTTTTTTAACGTAAATGAGTCCTCCTTCAATAACACTCGGTTACCTATGATAGTGTTGACCGTTAAACATGGCAACGACCGTTTGCGAAAGGGAAACAAGTCACATGGCATCAAATCTTCTTTCCTTCCAGACATTTACTATCAGAACCCGCAAAATGCGCCGCAATGCTCGACAAAGTGATCATATACAGAAAATTACCAAGAGTCCCAGAGTTACGAGAGTTAATTAGCTAGCCAAACTCTCTCCGTAGAGCAGATACGATAAATGCTAAATAAATGGCATTAGAAAACAAACAATTTGAGGATGAGGTTTTCGGATAGGACGGGGGTTCTATTTTGAGAGAACTTGAGGAATGTCACGCCTATGTGGTATATTAACTTCTTTGCATTTTTTTGAAACTTTTTCTTCATTCATCACCAAGATTGGAAGTGTTCTATCTGCATTGCCATCACTGAGATGTTGGGGAGCGATGTGATTGCAGCTCGAGATTCATTTGTGTTGTGCAGTCTTCTTTCCTATTCTGGACTTCGATTCCAAGATATTGTTACTGTAAATTAGGGAGAGTCAAATTCATCTCTTTTGTTTTTACAATTCTGTCTGTAAATCAACCCTCCACCATCTGCGTAACTATTCCCCCATAAGAAAATTCGTTTCTACCAAGACTACCGAGATTCTCGTCCATGCTTTTGTCTCCTCCAAGCTTGACTACAGCAACTCTCTCTTGTATAATGTGCCGCCGAAGTAGGTTATGAAAAAGTTTTAATCAATACAGAATGCTGCCGCCCGCCAATAATTACGTGCTCTTGCAAATACGACCACGTCACTCCCGTTCTGTCCGATCTACATTGGTTTCCTGCAAATGCATGAGCATATTAAATTCAAAAGCCTGCTGCTCACTTTCAAGGCTAAACCCCTGCAAGCACACACCTAAATTCAAGATTTGGTAACTCGCTATTCACCGCCCAGAACTCTCCAGTTATCTAGTTCACTACGCCTGAATCCTGCTAACTTTAATATGAAGTACTATGGTTCTAGAGCTTTCGCTGTCGCTGCTGCTGACCTGTGGAACAGCCTACCTGACAACATTCGTTTATGTGACAATTAATTAACAGTTAATGAATGAGGCTGAGTATCTTATGAAGAATTATGGAGATCGAGGAGGGTGTTATCCGTCGAGGCGTAGGCCGAGGCGGATAACAGCCTCCGAGAAATTATTTTGAATGAATAATAAAACAATTACTGACTACGGCTTTCATATCATATGAAGAATTAAGGAGATCTCGGGTGTTATCCGTCACGGCCGTAATTGTTAGTTAAATCTCACCTTATAGAAAAGCTGATTATTGTTATTATGGCAAATTATAACAATTCTTTACATCTACAATTTAATTATTTATTTAAATGTTTGAAATGTTGTGTAAAGCCCCTAGGGCAGGATTGGGTAGGCGCTATACAAATTTTAATTATTATTATTATTTTTTTAAAATAATCGGTGTTTTACGTATATGAATAAGCCATTGTCGCCCACCCTTCAAGAATGAATGCACCATGAAAGCGGCATAATAATAGAGAAATCGGGCTTGTTTGGCCCTGGAGAGTGATTAAAATCGTTATTTTGGAACATAAAAGATGAGCTAAGATGATTTCTTTAATACTATAGAGTGGATTCTTAACGTTGAAGGCGTAATCTATTGTTCTAAATTTATTTAATTGAAATGAACGAGAAGTAGGAGCAGACTTTTGAAATTGAAAATCAAGCTTTTTGAAGTATCTGAATTATGGAAAGCGACCCTTGTCAAAGTTAGATATCGATTTTCTTCCAAAAGAAGCACAAATCTTATGAAAATGATGTGTTTATTTCTTCAGCTATTTCTGACATCTTTCAAAATTATAATTATTGCAGTTTAGAAATGGAAAAGCTCTCTACAAACAAAAGTATGCTAAAATTTGCCTCTTAAATTTCTTTCATTAACTGCTGATGGTTACCATACCGTCAAAATACCTACGAAAAAAAAAAGGAAAACAGATTTGAAAATTATCGAGGATTGTGTATAACGTATGCCGTGAAGGACATTTTCATCACTGAATTAAAATCATTTTGATAATAAATCAGGAGAGGGCTTAATACTATAACCGCAAAGAATCGAAGATTACGAAACTCTATCATCGCAAGAAAGGACTTTGAATAAGATATCCGACCGACCACAAGGGCTAGTGGCAGCGCCCCTTGCCCCCGGGCCCTTCCCCCGAAATCAAGGATAAAAGATGTTTCAGCGTTTTAGATTTCCCTCGGTTTTGCGCAGTTTTAGCTCTTATTTCGCTTTTGTTTTCCTGTGTCTAAGACTGACGTCCAAAACAGTGAAACGGCGGCCATTTTGATTTACCAATGCGTCGTTCGCTTATGTTTATCACCAATAAAAATTCGAAGCTGTTTTCTAAGAGGGTGATAAAATTTCTGTAGCTTCGTAGAAGCTTTTGAGGTAACAATCCTTGAAGAAATTAAAAGTTATGGTAACTAAATGGATTATCTTTTGTTAACTTGTTTGTTCTCTATGAATTAGTTGCTCTTCATCAAGGAGAAAAACCAGCACAGAAGAAGAACCATGCGGTTCGAACATGTTTAATAATTGCTAAATTACAGTGTATTCACCATTTCTTACCTTAGTTATGATTATGGAGTAGCTTAAAACAGTTCCTTACGGAAAGCCAAATCGGCTGTAAACGCACTTGAACGGAAACACGGACAATGACCTCTTTTCACCATATCCAGAGGGTACCACCACCTTGTTATGGAAGAACATTTTGTACCCAATGTACCTGGTAAAACATGGAAAAGAAAAATTCAGAGCTCCATCGTTATCAACAGGAATCCGAGTTGAAAAGAAAAAAAAAAGCAACAACAACAATTGTATTCCTCTCTCAACTGGACTTATTTTTACTAGAGAAAAACCGCCATTTTGTCACCTGCCCATAGTACCAATGAAAGCAAGTAAACGTTTAGAAAAATATAAACTTTGATTTCTGAAAAGCGAAAACTTCAGCGTTCTTTTGTACTTGTTTTCCAGGTTTTTGAACTACCTGATGTCCACCTATCGTATCATCAGTCATTTTTAGCTTCACCAACCAGGCTTACCAACTTTTTTCAGATGATACTTTCAACTAGGAGTCATTTCGACAAAATGTTAACTGTAATTTTCAAGTGTGGTTACTGGATATGTATAGATAATAGCATGATTTGTAGTGATATTTGGCATAAATACCACGAGTAATATTTCAAAATTGTTGTACGTAATTTCACGAGCCGTTAGGCGTGTGAAATTTGAGACAATTTAGAAATATCACGAGTTGTATTTATGCCTAATATCACTACAAATCATGCCATTATTTGTTTATACTACTACCCGCAAAAGGTTTGTAATTGTCACATGCAGGTATTTCAAATTAAGCTGAAATACCACTGCTCTAAGCCAAACAAATTGCAGAAATTTCTCATGTGGTAGTATAAAGACTGAAATAACAATTTCACGTATAAATTACCCATCTAAAATCAAGCTGTAATAAATAGACCCCAGGCTCACCAACAACTTCGATTCGGGGAAACCAAGCTTTTATATACGAATCAGGCCTTGAGTGAGATACGTGAGGTCTACCAAAGAAGCATTGAAAGACCAGGCTAACAAGGCATAACTGGTTAAGACTTTACAGTCAAGAATAGGCTGGCCCGTCCGTACCACAAAAGACTGGTAAAAACAGACTAGGCTTAATAGGGTTAACCTGGCCTAGGAGGCTCCTGACAGGACTTTTGAAGCATTTAAGAGGTCCAAAATATATCTAACAAAATATTCTTGATTTTGATACTTGATACATTAAACGACGCTGAAATGACGCGACGACTTGCTGCTCACGAATTATCAGGTCATTCTTTTAAATTCATTATCCGTATATTCAGAGTTCACTCTTACCTCCGAACTGTTCCGCAGCCTTTCAGTGGAGCCTTTATAACAACACTCTTCTTGGTCACATAATTCACACCACAGCTGGGATCGTTAAGATGAAGGAGACTGGCATCAACTCCCGAAGGCAAACTGTCACGTGCTATGTGAGCCACCATGTAAGAGGGGAAGCATGAAATAGTAAAGGCAAACCTGGGTCCTACGAGTAAGAGTCAGAGTAATAAAAAGGAAAAAGTCACGAATCGGAGACTAAAAGCACTATTTATATCTAAAAATATTCTTGGGTATCTGTGGGATCAAAATTCAAAATGGCAGATCTATGATGTCAGCCGACGTCAGAATCCTCGGGGTACTGAGGTAAGGCAACTTTATTTATACACGGTATTTCCTTCAGGTACATTTTCTTTTGAGTATAGAAAACTAACTACCTAACTAAACTAAAACCTAAGATAAAACCTAAAGAAATAAAGATGATAACAAAAAACCTGCTTTACATGGAGGACGTGTGTAAAAATTGCGTATCACTAATTTAAGCAATTTCACAATCGAAATCAGGTATTTTAATTTTTGGTTAAAACATTAAGGGATGTCAATTACCGAACCTCCATAGGCAAGCTGTTCTACAACACACTTCCGCTATATATTACAAAGGCTCTTTTATAAAATTCAGTGCAGGTTTGTGTAATAGCGAGCATGTATTCATTCTCTCTTAGGTTATAAGTAGTTAAATCGCAGCGACGACACAGCTAATCATTAACGTAACATTCTTAGCCTAAGGAACAGATGGTCCTTTACATCGGCGACATTTTTGCTGCCTTCGCCCCCACTTTTCGGCTAAAAATCCCTAAGGGAGATAATATGAAATCAGTACTCTCTTTAAAATTGATGATTTGTGTAAGCTTACTTACTCGTTGTTGAAGGCCGAGGAGGATGCATTGCTAAAAAAATACGAGAAAGTAAAACTGAATTAAAATTTGGTTTCAAAACAATCAACCTATTGTAATAATCACAAACGTCAGTCTTATTAGCACAGAATTTTATTTGCAGGGCTTTCGGGCCTGACTACGGCTAAGTATGTGTAATCAAATTGTGACGAGTGAAATTAGGGAATAATTTCCCTAATTTCACGAGTATATAATTTGATTCATACCAGTCCTATTAATATCATCGGTCACGAATTACGTTAGCAATCGTGAATTTTTGACATGTTTATCCTGGATCGTATCGATCGAGAACTCCATTCTCTCAAATGTTTAGACCTTAAATTTGGCGTAAGTTAGAATTTTCAAAATTTTTTGACAAAATATCTGTTAGAATCCTTCTTGATGTGCTTTTTCGTGTGTTCAGGTTTTCTAAAGCGTCTTTTTGTGCCCTGACATCTTCATACACGGCATTTTAAAACTTCAAATCAAATCACTGGTTTATTGTCCCTTTTGCAGTCGGAAGACTGAGTGTAGGATACCTTACAAGCTGTGATATATATATATATACTAATACGCTACATTTATTGACAATATTGATATTTAACAGTCACAAAGTTTGAGAAACGTTCAGTCCTTGTGGCCATGGGCCTGCCAGGACCCTGATCTTAGACACATACTGGTACATATAGGTGCCACTCTGTTGTGTATCAGTGGGTATAACGGGTTACCTGGCCGAACTTTACCTATAAATTTAATACACGAGACTGCGCCATCTTAACACTGAGACGTACGGAAGGTTGCCATGGCAGTTTTGTAATTTCACATTTGAAATTACAAATTAACGCTGAAATTTCGCACCAGAATTAAGGAGTTAAATTCGTCACCTATGATATTAAGGTCCTTTACGCGAGCCCCAACCCTTAAATCTACCGTAAGCTTCAGCATTATCTTCCTTTTTGCTTGATTGATAATTTGTGAAGCTTACTTACTCGTTGTTGAAGGTCGAGGAGGATGCATTGCTGAAAAAATACGAGAAAGTAGAACTGAATTAAAATTTGGTTTCAAAACCGCCCCCTCCTTTTCTAAGGGTCTGGATGTCCGCAACCCCTTACCCCATTATCTCAAGGTCTGGATCCGGCACTGATGGATACACTTGGGAAGTTTGGAGAGCACTCAAGAAGCTAGAGTTGCTCTCGCTTACGCCTCGAGCAGCTCTTTCGTGCTCTCCAAACTTCCCGCGTGCATCCATAACTCGATATATGCACGCTAAGCGCGAACAAATTCTTAGATTCTAAATGCAATTTGTTGAGATAGCACATGCTATTGTAACGTGTGCTTCTGAATCTGATTTAAATTTTGCTTAGTAAGAGCTAGTAAGAAATAATCTTGTCCGTTTTTCATGTTCGGTTACAAGTTTGTTTCTATAGCAAATGTAAGAAAAGTAAATGTTAATATGGCCCGGCATCCGTTCTTTCTCATGTTGTCTCCTTCTCTGCCGTTCCCATCAACACGTTATCCTTTTTATTTCGTTTTTATTTTTTCTAGGGCAAGTTCTCTCGATGATCGAGTTTCATATTTTGAGGCAAACTTAACAAGTAATTAATACAAATGATCAGTCCTTGCCCTTGGCAGTTAGCTGCAGTTGTGGCCGGTTTTTTAATCTACTAAAATAACACTTTTCTTTTAAAAAAGGGATAATGGAGAGTAATAGTAACACAACTTTACAAAAGAAACGCTAATAAAACATACAGCCATTTTTATTGCGCGAAATTAACGGTTCTTGTGTCCGGCTGATAGAAACTTCTCTCACACTGAAAGAACCTGGGCAGATACACTGTACGAAATGCAAACAAGGACTGAACATATAACGTTGAAACTGCCATTATTTTGTGGATAGAGTTAAGCCTATCACTCTTTTTTTGCTTTTAATCTAATTACATTTCATTGCGTAAATCTCTAAGCTCACTGATTTCTCTTTCTTTGGTAAATTTTTAACTATGCGCTTACTTACTCCAAGTTGAACGACGGGAGGTCGATGGCCATATTGGTATTGCTGAAATATTACAGGTAAGAAAAATTAGGAAGTACACACACATATATAATTATATATCTAGCTTAGAATATTCGCACAGGAACCTGGCGATAACCAGGTTGGGGGACTACGGTGAGAATTTTCATAGGGGGTTGCTGTCTTGGTTGGCTCATCGTCAAGCTCAGTCCCTGAGGTAACTTGTCATGGGGTGGGAAAGGGGCCTCCATGTCAATCCCTAGTGGTGGGGGGGACGGGGGAGGGTGCTGTTCAATTTGAAGGAAAGAAATTTCGTCTTTCAAAAATTCTAAGCTGACTACAGAATACAGCTGTAAACATCACCTCATTTGCTAAAGTACGTGTAAGCGTGATCATTATTAATTCGTGTAATTTTTAAAAAAAGAGAGATCGCCTTGTTGTTGTTTTTTTTTTACTTCTTTATCAACAAAAATTTGTTTCAAACGTCTCGTTTGCTAATATTTCTGGAATTAGCCTGAAGTTATCTACATGTATTGCATGCTGAAACACTTTTTAATAATGTTTAATGCAGGATGAATATATAAAAAAAACCGAAACATTATTTTATAAGGTTTCTATTGAATTAAGAGATTTTACAAAGTTTTTGAAGCCCGTCAATTTTGACATCGCAGTTTGTGTTTATCAAATCTTAATACCGATACGCTAACTATGAAGTGAAAAGCTTACTTACCTGAGGACATGGAAGTTGCCGAAGGTGAAGAGGCTATTATTCATCAAATGAAGAGAAAAAGAAAGATAGATAGATATGAGATCTAAGAATATGTGGCAATGATTGAACAAACCAGTACAAACAACAAAAGGCAACGTGCTGGGAATGTCGAAATTGTAAGTGTTATAATTTATCACTGAAAAATGAAAATAAAAGAATTGAAATAATATATGTTTCAGTAGAAAGGTTTATATAGTTTATGGACATACGAGTAACATTTACCTCATTTTCCAAAATAATTGTCAGAAATGAGTTAGCCGTTTTTTAAAAGCTTTTCAATTATCTCTCAGCTGTCGGCTGTTTAAAAGTCTGAAACCTACCTTACCTTCTACTAAAACATTTCACGTCAATTGTTACAAATATCATTCTATATATATTATATAGTTCCTCAAGTAAGTTTAAACAAGTTAAATTGCATAAACTCGCAAATACCTCGAGTAGGAGATACTGAACTTGCTGAGGGTACAGGAATTGAAATGTCTATAGAAACAAATACAAATCTGTAGGATTATCTATTTCTCAACACTCTAGGCCACATAGCCGAATGTTTTAGGGAACTGTAGTGCAACTCGGTCTTCCCGAACACTATCGCTCTTGCCACCAGCTGGGGCGGTTGTTCTCAGTTGTTTCCTGAGTTCATCTCCTCAGCGCCACCGGGGGACTTCCATAAATAGTGACGGGTATCCCCCGTCAAAAAGAAGCCCAAAATGGACGTGGCTCGTGATTTATTTGACCCCCATAGTAGATTACACTAAGCACAAACCTAAGTGATGTCATTATGGATAAAAATGTTCATAGCTTTCGAATGAATATCCCAAGCAAGACCAAATGCAACAGCATCTACCCCTAAGCGAGACGGCAAACTTTCCCGATACTTTCATATAGAGTTCCCCAAGCCGGGGCTCTTCGCTAGTGCTTGTAAATTAGTTAACTGATTTGCCTTCAGCCACTTACTATTTTTTCTTGAGTTTTTTTTTCTGCTCTCGCTTGTAGGCCACAATATAAACTACTGTGCTATCAGGTTCTATCAGAAATTCTTTTTAAATTTTAAAGCTTGTCGGCAATTAGCCATACATGGCAAAAAATATCAAAAGTTTAGCTTATCATAACGGTATTTAATTTTAGAATACAATTTGGAAATGGAGAAAATAAAGACACCAAGAGCAAAACGTAGTATATTTTAAATGGGAACCAGGAATGCTTAAGTCACTTTATTGGATCTACTGTAGAATTCTCTGAAATTCTGTTAAAAGGTGAAATTCTCCATATTTGGACATTTTATTTTCGCTCATTTTTGGTACCAGTCGATGCAACTCAAAGACCCAAATTAAATGATTATATTATCATACGGATAAAGAAAAACAAATCTCTCTTGTACTGCCATGATATCTGCCAGTTCTGCACTTACGTTTACTTATTAAAACTTAAAATTCAACTATTCAATTGTTGAGGCTCACAGTACTTAGGGACGGACCATTATTTTTCTGGAGGGGGGATGAGAAATATGGAAAAAATTGTTTGCAGGGTCTGAAAAGACAAAATAAAGGGTTTGCAAACACGATATGTGTATGAAAAATGTTTGCAGGGAAGTCAGATAAGCCGTCAAAAATTTTAGTTTCAAAACTGATTCAAATAATAACTGAAAGTAACAAATTGACACAAGGACACAAAAATATGGAGCTAGGTACTTCAAAGTTTTCATTTTATAACATTGAAATAAATGATAAAGTAAAAAATAGCTGATTCTTTGTGCCTATTTATTCTCAACATTATTTGTTAACATTTTGCCCTATTAAACTTCACAGCGTTTTCTCAAAACTATATGAAACAAAATAATATAATTCTTCAAACTCGGCTATACTCATCGCTGCTATTCCCATAATTATTTCAGAAGCCAATCAATAAAATCTGAAGAGAAATTGCTGAGAAAGCTCTGTACATGTGTATGTGTATCTGACAAAAATATTGTGTGGTGTTCGTGAAATAATCCTCTATCATGATAAGTAATAAAATTTTAGAAAATGACGGTAAACGGTTCAAACAGCTACACCTTGACATTCATTGCATGTTATTTGACATCTGAAACTTTTTTGTTGTAGCAGAGAAATCCTGACCCGCAACAAGTGTTATTTTTTCTTGAATTTCTGTAAACGTTTTTAAAATTTTTTCAACTCCCTGAAGAAGTCTTCGTTGGTTAGACGAAAGGAGCAGGGAAAACACGTTTTACAGCTACAGTTCGCAGAGTGCTGCTCACTAGTCTTAAATTAGTTTAAAGAATTGGAAAACCTGCGACTCCCTTTGCCTACTCCCTGTATTTGCGTCAGTGGCTGACAGAGAAGACGAATAAAGAAAGCACAAACTATAAATTACTAGGATCTTATAAGGACAAAACAAGTTGCTAGCGCACTTTTGATTGTTTTTTGAAAAATAGCTTATTAATAAGTTTATAATAGTTTTTAGCACCAAAGAGAAACAATGTTTCGCAAGAAGGTGGATTTTGGGGAAAAAACTATTGCAGAGGGGCAGATATGAAAAAATATATTACTTGCAGAAGAAAATTCCTTATCCCCTCACTCCAGAAAAATAATGGTCCGTCCCTTAGAGGATTATCTAAGCATTTTAAAAATCGCTGTTACCACCCATATGCATCAGCTATCACTGGTCTTGATATGAAAAGTAGCATACACGTTCAGGACAAAACTATTCTACCGCAGGCTCAACCGTTCATTTATTAATTATGATATCATACTTACTTGAGCAAATCACTGATGCATCTTCACTGTGATCACAGTTATGAACACCCCATGGACGGGACCCGCGACAATGCCTAATGTAATTTTCATTTCCCTGACATTGAACATTGTCCAGCCAAATTCTGCCACTCCCTCGACCGAAACGAGCATATAACGGAGCACTAACAGCAGAAGGATACCCAAGTTGACGGCAGACAACCTGCGCATCATTTATATCCCACAAATCGTCGCACACCGTTCCCCAGGAACAGTTGTAATAGATCTCCACTCTGCCCTCTCCAGGCCAGCTTCCTCCGACCAATCTCAAATCTGATGGTGAATAAAAATTTAGCTTCATCAACTAAGTTGATGACGTACGTTTACCGGCGCCTTTTAAAAGACTTCTATCCACGATGTAACCTGAGATCAGGCCCAATTTGAGCGGTTCTCATACATTCTCTCTAACGGCTACCGCTGAAATTGGGCCTGATACAAACTATTACAAGTTTGTGCTCGTTACGGCCAGATTTTGGCCGTAACGCTGATTGGCTGTTAGAACAATGCCACAAGATCTGATTGGCTGTCGGAAACGCCGGAAGTTGAAAGCGCTTATTCCTCGCGTGGTTGTTTTCGTGAATGATCCGTCGTCGGTGGAGACAAAGATCGATTTTGGTGTCTTTTTTATGGTTTTATGGCCTTATGGTAGGAAAATATTCCTTAATATGTGCCATGGAAATTCAGAAAATTCATGTGGTTGTTCATATCTTCTCAGGATTTGCTTTATTTACGGAAAGTGAGTGTATCGCGGAGTTGAATCCCTGTGCAAGTTGTTGACCGCTAACAAGGCGCATTTTGATTTACCAACTAACGGGTGCAAATCAAAATACTGTCCCTCTTAAAACTGGTTTCATTTGAAAGTTTAGCCGGGAATGACTTCTCTGAACGGGGTACGCAAGCGGAGGCTCACTGCGAAAGAAATTGCAATCGCCAACTGTGAAGTATTAGACGAAAAATATCGCATCGCTGTTCAAGGAATTTTCAGTGTTCACAGACTGGTTGTTTGACTACGCTTTTTGTTAAAAGTAAACCAAGAAAACTGGTGTCCTCGCTCGTTGGCTGTTTGCTTTTGTTTTTAAAGATTTATGTACTGAAAATCGGGGGAAATTGCCGAGGAAAATATCAAGACAACGGAAAAATTTAGATTTCAGTATTTTAAATTCCAGAGCGCCTAGCCAAAATAATAAAACTAGTAGAACATCGTGTCGCCGTCTTTTCGAAAACTTTTTACCTTCTACGCCAACAGAAGTAATCTTCGAGATCTCCCTTAATCTCGCAAGAAGTTAAATGTGATTGCGCTGACTGTTTTATTTTTAGCTGAAAAAATTTACAGATAAAAGCTATTTTTTAAGTCAGACAGTCTGCATTTTTCCCACGCGTAAAAAATTTGCATACTAGAAAAACAAGCAAAGGAAGTAATTCTGATTGGCTGATTCGGCAAATGTCAATCAATCAAAAAAGTGGGCGGCAGACATTTCGTTAAAGGTTTGTATCAGGCTCTCTTTTCGTTTCGCCTTGCCCGCAGGAATGTAATTTTCAAAGCGAAACGAAAATAGAGCCTGATCTCAGGTTATCCACGGTGATAAATTTACTTTTAATTCTAAACTTTGTTGATAAAACTTCGCACAACGACGCAGCGCCACAAGTTAGATGAAAATTCATGATCAGATTTTGAAATAAAAATTGCACCCCATAGAGTATTACACAGACAATTACAAATCGATTCTCGTGAAATGTTTAAATCTCAATCGCAAATCAGTACGTACTGAAATGATGACACAGAAATATATTTCCTGTTCTGTATTTGTGAAATGTTGAGGCTCTAAATTTCTAGGAGGAGTTGTAAACCAGCGTCCTCAATACACATCTTTGGTTTGTACGCTTTGTTTTTCTAATTTAGGTCATTTGATAATACCCTACAAAAATGTTTGCTGTTCATAGTTTGTGTTATTATCGTGCACGTGCAGGCATAAGAAAAAGGACAGATTCCTTTAAAATCATTTCACACACTATACTTTATTTTCATACTCATCATTTTGTCATCTCCGCCCGCAAATAGCAAAAGCTAGACGAAGAGGGCGGAGAGATAGAGGATATGGCCGCGCGGAGATACGAAATTTCTCTTCGAGTGTTGAAAATATTTCACGAGTGAGCGCAGCGAACGAGTGAAATATTTTTTCAACACGAGAAGAGAAATTTTGTATCCCCAAGCGGCTATGTAAAAGTTCTATTTATTATATAAACACCAATGAACTACCAAACCATTTCACTTTAATAGGTTTTTGGTATGAAAGGCGCGATCTATTATGTAGCCATAGCAACGGTGATATTTTCACACTTGAAGATATCAAGTTTTCGAGCGAAAGCTCACCTGGTATTTCATAGGTGTGTTTATATAATAAGAAAGGTTATCACATGACCTGCATTGGAAAAGAAAACAACAAAAAGCGATATGCAGGGTCTGTTAGTGCTTGTGTGTCAAATTTATCGACACTCATAATATAGCATGTTATTTGTTTACAAAAATAAATTAACATGATTGTGATTGTGACTTTTTCAGAACTTGCACAACTGAGCATGCTCGGAGGCTAATATACAATTTCCGGTTTGTGCTAATGTTTGGGTGCTTTACAGCTTACAAATTCTTCCACAGGTTTGCGAAAAACACATACAAACTGGATTTTCTCTTTGACATGTTTGCTTTTGTAGTAATACACAGTCAGAAATTAATGTTACATCATGTTTCAGTGTTACATGTACCTAACTAAGACGGAACTACGGTTTCGCTTGTTGAAGTATGCTTCTGACGTCATCGCCCCAATTCTAACTGGTTTGATCAATAAATCTTTCACTGATGGAGTATTTCCAGGGGTCTGGAAGTGTGCAAAAGAAACTGCATTATTTAAAGATGGAGATAAGTCATTAAAGGATAATTACCGACCGATATCAATCTTACCAACTATAAGCAAGATCATAGAGAGATCAGCACATATTCAGTTAAGTTCCTTTTTGGAAGAAAACAGATTATTATCACAATCACAGTTTGGCTTCCGCCTAAAGCGTTCAACTTCCACTGCCTTAATCGCCTTCACAGATCAAGTCCTAGAAAGTACGGACAAAGGATGCGTGACAGGAACAGTGTTCCTGGACTTTCGCAACGCGTTTGACACCGTTGATCATCTGCTCCTCATCAAACTCAAGTCACTAGGAGTAGCAGGGAAAAGCTTGGAATGGTTCCGCTCATATCTCTCTTGTCGATTTCATCAAACGATGTGTGTTAATGCATGCATGCGGTCAACACAGGTTTATCTAAAGTAAGCCCTAAATTATAGACTACGAGTAGTCCCCCATTTTTCCTCAGGTCCCTCAGGGATAGTAGAGCGAGCAAAACGCGAGCGCGCGTGAAAATCAACCCACGCGAGAAAAGGCGCGCTTTTCTCGCGTGGGGTGATTTTCACGCGCGCTCGCGTTTCGCTCGCTCTACTATCCCTGAGGAAAAATGGGGGACTACTCGTAGTCTACCTAAATTACATATTAATAAATAAACTTTCCAAGCTAAGATCTCACCTCGTTTATGTTGCATAAAGAAACAATGCTCAGATCTGAACAAACTCCGCCGTATGGTTATCTTTCAGGGGCACCCAACGAGAATATAGTTCAAAACCACTTAAACATAGCATTGTTAAACGTATTTTAGTATTGAAACGGTAGATATAGGCATATTTTTATCCCCTAAAATTTTTTCATCTGTTCGGATTTCCTAGCTGAAAGTCTAGTGATCCGAAAATTATAGGGATCAAAACTTACCTTTTCGAAAATTTCAGCTGGAAAAAAGGCTTCCGAAGATTCTAGGTGACCTTCATAGGGTTAAAAATCCGTTAAAAATAAGCAAATATACCATTTTTTGGATGTTCGAAAATCCTAGGAGAGGTAGGCAAGCAGTAAATTTTACAACAAATGTTTCGAAAATTCTAGATCTCAAATCGTCTTCCGAACAGATATTCTTCCGAAAATTGTCGTTGGGTGCCCCTGATCTTTCTCTCAAGAATTATTCCGCACATGCATAGCATATTATTTCTGAGACGTCACGCGCGACTGAAATCACGACTTCGCGAGCTGTGGTGATGTGACAAAAGCATGTGATAAGAAACAAGCCGTCCTTTGTCCATTGTTCATCTCAAATTATTGCGCCCGTTTTAGATGAGGTTGATGAGGGCTTTCGCGTGATTTTACTGTTTGTTACGATCTTCCAAAAGTGTTCTTCAACTCGATCTGCGGTTTGTCTGAACATCACGAAACAAAAATGGGTATGACTGCTAAGTGACTAGTGTGTACTTTGAAAGGATCTGATTGACGGCGGTGTACGCGGCTGGCGGTGCACGTCTTCCACACGATAAGTGACATTGCTATCATCCCATCGATCCTAAGGGACGCTCACTACTTGTGCAGGAATTTTTTTTTCAGGTGAACCCCTCTGCACGAATTTTTTTTTTTCTGTCAAATATTGCTTTTTTTTAACAGTGAAATCTTGACTTCATTATCTATGTTTTTGTGCTTTATAAATTATTCTACACTCACAACAGATCAAAGGATACAGGCCACTTTAATCAGGGCCTAAGGGAAAGTTCATTTAATATGACAAGGGGGGATGAAGATATTGAAACTCGAAGCTTGAAATTTTAGCAGCCCCCTAGCTAGCGGTTCAATTTTTTAGAGCCCCTCCTTGGCAGTCGAAAAAATTTCAGAGCCCCCCTCCTCCTTCAATTCCTTTGCTCCCCTGAAAAAGATCGCTAGACTGTATTAAATATATTTACCGGTATTGTCTTCAATGGTTTATACTATGACAAACTTGAGATACAGTTGTGATACAATTTTCTAAAGCATTTTTGGGATGAACAAGAGTGTAATAATTACTGAGACTACATTTGTTATATCTGTAAACCACGTGATATAGCTGAGTTGCACAGGTCATTAAATTGTTGAGTTGAAAACCATCCGATCTGTATGATGATGTCATGTGTTGGTTTTGAAGTATACAAATTTTCGGAGCCCCCCTCCTAGCGCAACAATTTTTTTCAGAGCCCCCCTTCGGGTGTCTAAAAATTTTCGGAGCCCCCCTCAATATCCTCATCCCCCCTTGTCATATTAAATGAACTTTCCCTAACTAATCGATATCTTCGATACTCGATAGAAATCGAACGTAATCGATCGTAATCGATACTAATCAATCGATTAATATCGGAAATCGATAGAAATCGATCACTCGCGTCTTTGTGATTTTCGATTTTGATCGATTTCTGTTATTAGCTATCGATTTTATCGATTTGTTCGACAATGATCGAAAAGAAAATGGACGAAGATTCTCCGCGCTTCGTAAGCCACCATGCGTGTCTCCCAATAAGCGCTCGAACAATACCCTTCTAAATTCTCGGAGAACGGACGACAGTTTGCCAATTTCTACATTAGTGACTCCGGCTATTTACCACGATTCTGACGATTCTAGAGTACAAATTTACAGCAGTGATCCTGGTAAAAAAAATAAATAAGAAAAGTAGCTACCATTGGCGAAAGAAGTAACATCATCTTTATCAACAAAGCGGATTCGAAGGTAAGCTTGAAGGTAAGTGTTACGCAGTGTTGTGATAAGATCAGATCACGTTTTTGATTGTCGATTTCCATAGATGCGACAAAAAATTGTGATTATCGATTTCAATCGATTAAATTGACTAATCAATCGACAAATATCGAGTACTATCGAGTATTATCGATTAATCGATTACATTTTCGATGATCGATTTCTATCGATTAGTTAGGCCCTGCTTTAATGCAAAATCTTTTCGAAAATGTACACACAGTGAGAGAGGAGGAAGCCACTTGGAGTGGACGGCTTCCCTGTGCATTTTTTCAGTCCCTGCCCTCTGGAATTCCTCTCCTAGAGCCCATCATAATGATGCCACACTCCATTCACCAAAACAGCAAGAAATAAGCGTTGATAAGCCAAACACACTCATAAGCTCGTGATAATGTGAAACGTGACTTGAGAGTCTGCTTGAACAGTGGTTCTCTTTCTTTTTTTCTCTCGCGCGAAGTTTACTAGCACTACACAGTGCAAGACGTGTAGCATTCTAAACTTTGACTGAGTAAATCTTGTTTTTGCCGCACTAAGTCTTATATTTAGAGGTCATGAAGCAGGTTTGTTACATGCATACTGAGTAATCATTTCCTCTGGTTTATGCTTCTGTAGGTGTCCCTGATAGGATTTGATTTGAGATGCAGTTGTAAAGTGTTTTATATCCTTTGAACTCTGTTTATTACAGCTTTTAGTTTTTTTTGGTTTTCTCCGAAATGACTGTACCTGAATAACTATATGCATGCATGCAAGTTTCTTTGTCCGTGAATGTGATTATTTCCTGCTATGTGAGTATGACTCTGGGCCCAGCTCTGTAGTGTGGTTTGCAGGATTTTGAATTTCCACGGATAGTGCGATCTTCAGATTTGAGTTGTACACTGTAGCTAAAACTAAAGCTACACCAAGTTTGGAGAAATATACCGTGCATCAGTCAAGATAATTCTCTTAGCGCTCACACAGTCCATTTAGTTTTTCTTAACATAAGTGAGTCTTTGAACTAGAGCGCGATGTCTTGTTGTTCCTTCGAAGGTATTTACTTAAGTTTTTGCTTAACAGTCGTCTATGCGACTGCTATGAATTCTTACGCAAGACTGCAGTTTCGGAGCAAATAGCGTTCCTCGTCAGTTGCTACTATGGTAAAGTCTTAGGTACAAAGAGCGAAGCAGGCTGTTTAAATAGTGGTGGCTAGGATCGAAAATACTAACTTGCCATTGGCTGCAAAAGTGACCAATAGCGTAGGTGCATCTTTTTGTGGCCACAAATAATTATTTTTATAGAATATTTACAAAGCTACCAAATTCTAATATTTATTTATTACAAATTTTATTTTACAGTCAAACCAGGTCAAGCGTTCCCGTCGCTAACAAGCTAATGAATTCATTAATGGAAAAATGATTTCGTTTGTTGATTCAATAATCCATTCATAAAATGAATAATCCAACGGTCAAATTGTACCTCGATTCAATAATCAAATGTTGATTTGGTTTATGAACAAAATCTACCTGTTCTTTATTCTTGTCTGTTGTGTTCAATCGTATTTGCTTCCCTTTTCCTGCCGTTTACGATTACGTTTTTCATTGCCTTTAATCAAAATAACAGCTAGAATAGACAAGACCGCAAACGCAAAGAAACTGACAAAGGCCGAGGATCGAAATCCACCAATCACCGCACATACACTGACCTCAGTTTGACCGTCGTGTTTTCTAAGAGGTCAGGCCTAGGTCTGTTGCACTGATTATTGGCAGCAAACTGGCGTACATGTAACAGTTTGTTTGGGTTTGAACTTCAGAACTCGCCAAGCTTCGCCAGCACTCGACTCTCAGAAAAAAAAGACGAAAAAACAAAATTCTGAGGTCAACTTGTGGAAAGTGGAATTTTTCAAAAAACAGTAATCGAATCAACATTCGATTATAGAATCGAGGCTAAATATTACTATTGGATTGTTCATTTTATGAATGGATTATTGAATCAACAAACGAAATCATTTTTCCGTGAATGAATTCATTAGTTCGTTTGGGACGGGAACGCTTGACCTGGTTTGACTGTATTATTTTTATTATAATACAGTATACAGTGTATGTTATAGGTACACTAGCTGCAATTTAAAACAAAAACAAGATTCTAATTGCATTTTGTCTCCTTTCATAAGAAGAAAGTGGTTTTTGTTTATTCATATTGTGCCTGGTACTTATTGTTGATTTCTGAAACTCAGGCTTTCTGAAAAAGTCACAATTGGACCTTCCTTCTGCATGAATTTTTTTCTTTACCTTCTCCGTTGCATGAATTTTTTTTCTTGGCATTTTCCCTTGCATGAATTTTTTTTTGGTTTTTCCCCCACCCCCATCATTTTTCTAATGGTCCGTCCCTAAAGGCCCGGCCTAGAGCGCGTGCAAAGATGGCGGGTATTGTGAATAACGTCTATTGCACGATTTCATGACGTCATTTTACTACAGCTACCAGAATCCTTCCAATGTCTTTTTTTTCGGTGTTTTTTTAATCTCAGCGGGATCAGTGAGAAATTTAAGTAAGGGTGGATTTCCACTGCCGCGTAATTTTCCGTACGCACGCACTACTACGCGCGTAAATGAAATAGGGACAATGTATGGAAGGTCACGCGTATACGTAAAAGTTGAACCTCGCTCAACTTTTACGTATACGCGTGGCCTTTCATATATTGCCTCTATTTCATTTACGCGCGTAAAAATAACGCGACAGTAGTGAAATCAACCCTAAGAAAGCAAAGACGAAATGAATTCTGGTAGTTGCAGTCAAATATTGTCATCAGGAAAATGGCTTATTAAAAGCACAAGATCCTTACAAAATCTTACTCGGCCATTCTGGCCAACAAAATTTGTAGCGCTTGCCTCATTAGTCCCCTTCGAGAACAGCACAGCCAAAAACTCACCATCAACTTCGGTGATTTCAAACCTCAGCCTATCTTCCCCAGCCTCGTTATTCACAATGCACATGTATTTGCCTTTATCTGCCATAGTAATACCAGTAATTGTCCATTCTTCTTCTGTTGGATGGGAGTACCGGCTGTCATATTGAGAATCGACCTTTTTGAATTTATGGACCCATCCAAAGTACCAAGTGACAGTTGGTTTTGGGGTACCTTTCTTAATATCACAGTGAAATGTGTTGTTGTAACCTTGAGTGAGTCTGCGATATACAGGATCTCCTTCATACTTGTTGATTTGGGGCCTCTCTGTTGTAGAAAAAAAGACAGTGCTTCAATCAGACAATCTTATTAGCTTTGTCAACGTTTTAAGCTCTTAAGGTGTTAACAGTTGCATGGGGGCAAGGAAAACCATGATAATTGTCACAAAGTGCAAGAAGTTAATCAAGTCAGCTTACTACCCTGTCACTAATCAGTGATTATTATAATGGCCACTCATTGACAATAAGGATGCCGGCGGAGCATCTTGTCAGAAAACATACTCTAGTTTCAAGTTGGTAAGTACGTGGTGTAAGCCTCATGTAGTGGTTTGACGTTAGTCACTCGAAGCAATGTATATGCCCAGCATAACTGTACATAATCCTACATAGCCCTACCTTAGCCATACATAACCCTACATGGCCATACATAGCCATACATAGCCCTACATAGCCCTACATAGCCCTACATAACCCCATACATAGCCCTACATAGCCACACATAGTCATAAATGGACATACATAGCCATACATAGCCAAACATAGCCCTACGTAGCCATACATAGCCATACGTAGCCATACATAGACGTACATAGCCCTACATAGCCCTACATAGCCATACATAGCCCTACATAGCCATCCACAGCCCCACATAGCCCTACGTAGCCATACAACAACAACAACAACATAAGCTTTATTTGCATGACTATAATTATGTAGTTACAGTATTGCAAAAGCTTTAATATAAAAAACAAACAAACAAACAAATCATAACAATGATAATGCAATGATGACTGTAGTTAATCAAGTGTCATCAGCATGACTTGATAACAAATTATTACGTAAATCATTACATACATAGCCATACATAAGCATGCAGAGCCGTACATAGTCGTACATAGCCTTACATAACCCTACATGGCCATACATAGCCATACATAGCCCTACATAGCCGCACATAGCCCTACATAACCATATATAGCCATACATAGCCCTACATAGCCATACATAGCCATAAATAGACATACATAGCCATACATAGAACTACATAGCCATACATAGCCAAACATAGCCCTACATAGCCATACATAGCCATACGTAGCCATACATAGACGTACATAGCCCTACATAGCCATACATAGTCCTAAATAGCCATACACAGCCCTACATGACAATACATAGCCCTACATAGCCATATATAGCCATACATAGCTATCGACTCAGATAACATAAGGGAGAGAGGATTAATTGTTTTAGTAAAATCCAACTGAGTTGGTCAAAAATATCGAGACAAAACAACTTTAGCTAGCCAAACGCGATTCAGCCGCCTTTGTTTTGGTTATCAAAGCCGGCGCTTTTCGCCACTAGTGGGCTATAACGTATAGGCTAGTAGTAGCTCAACCAATCAGAACGCAGCATTCATAATAGACCACTAGTTGGGTTTTACAAATAGCCCTATCATCCCTACACAACCCTACTTAACCATGCATAGCTCTACATAGCGTTACATAGCTCTACACAACCCTACATATCACTACACAACCCTACATAGCTATTCATAGCCCTAAAATAGCGCTACATAGCCCCACAGAACCCTAATATAGCCCTGCATACCCGAACATAGCGCTACATAGTCCTAAATAGCCCTACGTTATCATAAGAGACTACATTACGAGGCTTGAACGCCAAGAAAACCAAACCAAATTTAGAAAAAATGACCACAAACCCTCAGATTCAAGCAAGTTTGCCCCCCGATAAAATTTTGCTAATTTCGCCAAATAAAATTTTCTAAAATTTCGCTACTTTGAGAAGCTATATATTGGTTACGTTAGTTTACAACAAATCACTTTCGAACCTATTGATTGATTTAACTATAATTAATTCATTCAAGGCGCACTTCCCAGTGGAGTTGGCGGACTTGTCCCTTCATGAAAAAGGTGGAAAATAGAATGAACAACGAAGGGTCTATTGCACAGCGAGGTGTAGAATCATCAGTTGCTTTATCTAGTCACATCCATTGGTGTCCGCAATTATGCGGCGTTTTGGCGATCAAGATCTGATGATGTGTATGACAATGTGGGGCCCCGGTGCTCGTGGGAAAATTTAATTTACTAAACCCCTAAGGAGACCAGCGAGACATCTATAGATAGGGACCTAAATAAGTGCCAGGGATGTCGTGTTCTCTTTTAAACGTAAGATTTCTGTAAAGTCAGTGTCACTAAAGTTACTTATGCACAGCCCTACGCGATACTGACCTTAATAGGCAAATATGGTGTCGCAAACAACTTTAAGAGACACCAAAATCGGGAATTTACATCACTAATATAAGGGAAACGATGAGCATCTCCTTCACTTTTATGTGAGTGTTACGCTCAGGGTGTATATGTAATAAATACATTAATACGAGTATGCGATTTGGCATTAACTCTGCAGGTTCTTTGATAAATTGTGCCAAATGATATTCAACCATCACGTCCAATAGATGGGTAGTGTGAACCTCTAAGGGACTTGAAAGAAAATTACAATTCAAATCTCCCAGTATGTAAATTTTGTAATACCTGGAATCTGTCTGGGTATGTAGGGTTACATGTATGTACGAGAAAGGATGTCTTATCAATCTCAGAGAAAAATTGGCTGCAATATTTCCAAACTCTTCATTCAAATGAATCTCTTAACCCAGCCCAGCAAAACATTTACAATGACCTGCAAACAAATTAACGTCATGGTCAACACTCTCGTCCCCTAGATTTCTCGATTATCAAAAACAAAATACGTAAATTAAAGAATAATAAATCACCATTTTCGGATAAATTAGAAGTGAAATGGTAAAAGCTAGTCTTAACACTTTGATGCCTGTATATGAAAATTTATTCAATTCCTACCCTAGGTACCATGCCTCAGACTTAATGCGGTGGTCTTATTACTCCCATCTATAATTCGAGCGGGAGTAATAACCCGGCAAATTTCCGAGGTATGTCTGTCTCCAGCACCTGGGAAAAATGTTTTGTTCGATATCTTAAAGCAACGACTCCTGAAAAATGTCATGTCTTTAAATACCCTTCACAATTGAATTTCAAGTTGGCATGAGAAGCTTTGCTCAAGAAAAAAAATCTCAACAGGCGCCGGAAATTGATGCCCTGGTATGCGATAGAAAGGTGTTTGCTTGGTGTCATAAAATTAATTAAGACCGGAACATAATAAGTAAACCAGACACCGAGTATCCGCGAGAGACGCGTCATTTAAGCGCGAGGCAAGGCGAGGAGCCAGCATCCCACGCAACCGTTTTATTGCGGCGTGACCTTTCTGTTTAAAATGAACAAGATTTTGATCATTCGAAATGTATCTTAAAAATAAAAGCTCGCGTCATCTACCCGTAGAAAGTAATTTACATGATAAACAAATCCAGTTCGGACTGCCGGTGATTTGGACGGGGCACGCCAGGGTTAAAAGACATTACGTTAAAGCATTTTATATATTTCCTTTGTCACTTTGCTAAAATTTTTGAAGGAGCGACCGGTATTTCATGTGGAAATGTGTGACAAAGCGCCGCAAAAACTTGTTTCCAGTGCCGCTCAAATGAATGGACGGCAGCGTACATGTACGATTTTTTTTGTTTTTGAGGGTCAGGCAGCGATCATGCGATGTGACCGAGTTAAATTCTTACTAATTAATTAATATTCTACCTTAGACTTTCAAAGTTCAAAAGCGCTGTGGTTTTGATTTCGAAACCATTTGAAGTGAAGGCGACCGTCGACGGTATGAGTCTTCGTTTCCCATTTCGAGTCTGTCGAGGGTTACAACCCCCAAAAGCATTGGCATGCACTCAAAAAAGAAATATGTGGAGTCCGGCCGACGGGTTTCGCCAAAAATGAAGTATTTAGGAGATTTCCTGACGAAAGACGTGCCAACGCGGGAACTTGAACCCGCCAAATCGGCCTATGCCGAAGTGGAATTCAACATGATGCCAGCTACTGTGTACGTCGCTTCCACGTTCGTTTGATCACTGATGTTCTTCGCCAGAATATCATTCCACCGGATGGCCTTGTAAATTCTGTTACGGACTTAAGTTACATATTAGTGATATTAGACTTGAGGTAAGTTTGTTTTTAGTCAAATTATTCCCAATACAGTGAGGTATTTCTGTTTTCTGGTCACTTCAATTTAAAGAAATCATTTAGCTTTATTATTCTGTTTCTCTTCGGTAGTCAGTTTATTTATGGGCTTTTGTTATCTAATGGCAAAATCTAATTTTTATCATGCTTGTTTTGTACTAACTGGTTTTGTTTCTCTTGGGTAGTCAGTTCATTTATGGGCTGTTGTTATCTGATGACAAAACCTAATTTTTATCATTATTATTTTAAACTATTAAACTGGTACTGTTTCTCTTGGGTAGTCTAATGACAAAACCTAATTTTCATCACAGTTTTCATTTTGTACTAACTGGTTCTGTTTCTCTTGGGTAGTCAGTTCATTTATGGGCTGTTGTTATCTGATGACAGGACCTAATTTTCATCATTTTCATTTTGTACTAACTGGTTCTGTTTCTCTTGGGTAGTCAGTTCATTTGTGGACTGTTGTTATCTGATGACAGAACCTAATTTTCATCACAGTTTTCATTTTGTACTAACTGGTTCTGTTTCTCTTGGGTAGTCAGCTCATTTATGGGCTGTTGTTATCTGATGGCAAAACCTAATTTTCATCACAGTTTTCATTTTGTACTAACTGGTTCTGTTTCTCTTGGGTAGTCAGTTCATTTATGGGCTGTTGTTATCTGATGACAGGACCTAATTTTCATCATTTTCATTTTGTACTAACTGGTTCTGTTTCTCTTGGGTAGTCAGTTCATTTATGGGCTGTTGTTATCTGATGACAGGACCTAATTTTCATCACAGTTTTCATTTTGTACTAACTGGTTCTCTTTCTCTTGAGTAGTCAGTTCATTTGTGGACTGTTGTTATCTGATGACAGAACCTAATTTTCATCACAGTTTTCATTTTGTACTAACTGGTTCTGTTTCTCTTGGGTAGTCAGCTCATTTATGGGCTGTTGTTATCTGATGGCAGAACCTAATTTTCATCACAGTTTTCATTTTGTACTAACTGGTTCTGTTTCTCTTGGGTAGTCAGTTCTTTATGGGCTGTTGTTATCTGATGACAGGACCTATTTTTCATCATTTTCATTCTGTACTAACTGGTTCTGTTTCTCTTGGGTAGTCAGTTCACTTGTGGACTGTTGTTATCTGATGACAGGACCTAATTTTCATCATTTTCATTTTGTACTAACAGGTTCTGTTTCGGATTATTATTGTTATTGTTTATTGCTATTATTATCAACATCATTATTGAGTGATTTAAAACTATTTTTCTTTGACACAGGGCTATAATTTGCAGAAGGTGATGGAGCGTACACTGATTTGCTTTAGTTTTCTTTCAGAAATTCACATAGAATTTACTTTAGTTACAATTATTGCTTGGGTAATGAGATAAACTTTCAGCGACACAATGTGACAAAATTGTTTTAACCAAAATCATGATAACACCATCAAAACGTTTTTATTATTAGTATTATTCGTTAAATTCAAACGATGCTAATATATGTATGTAAAAATGAAATTATCTTGTCGCTTGTTACCGAGCTATCCGTACTGTAAAACGTCAAATGAAAAGTTATAACACTCACATGTCTATTAGTTCTTACAAATGATTTTGTCAATGAAAATCGACGACAAAAAATTCCCCTCTCTGGCTTAATTAAGAAGCTTGGGTTGCAAAAAAATGTGTTTGTAAAACACAACCGAGTCAATTATCGTACGTTAAATAAATCAAAGCATTTAGCAAAATAGAATCTTAGGGTTAACTTCCCGAGGTTACTTCAAACCCTCTGGTTACCTTCCCTTCGCCGTGCCCTGTGAGCTTTGCGTTAGATCTCACGGTTTATTATTATAGAATCAAGTCGCTATTAAAATGAAGCTGTTATGGGGTTATAAGTCAGTTGTAGTTACTGATGTCCAAGAATTCCAAATGTTCCTGTTTCGGGAATCGTAATTTCTCTGGGATTAAATCATTCTCATTGAGTAAACATTAATTTATCACAGGTAAGTAAATGTACTTAATTTATCACATCGAACCTCGTCGCTGACGCCGTTTTGTGTAATGTTCCAGCCGACTACACAGTAATAGAAAGAAGATAGTATACTGTTCGATCGACATAATTGCAAATAATTTCATTCCTCCCGTAAGAATAGATTTAGGCGGTCATTAAAATGTTTCTCGGGTGGTAAACCTTAGCTTCTCGTAATATTTTCAAAGTCGGCAAAGGGTTTATGTTTCATTTTCAATTTCTCTTTAGTAACAGATATAAACCCCGCTCTCGTTAAGGTTTGGTTCTTGATCTTCGATTATCCCATTCGAGTGATAGTTATTTCTCTTGCTATCGCCTTCTATAATTATGGTTGTGCGATCAATAAAGAGCGGGGTTTTTTACAGTAGAGCCATACCTTGAATACTATTTCGCGTGAGAAGTAACGGTTGACGTGTGTCTCCACGCGAGTAAAGCCAACAAATGCGCGTCCGTATCTGGAAAACCTTTTTATTATGTCAAGAAATGTCTTATTTACACGTCTCGTGATTCCCACGCCGGGTGTTTTTGGATGCCGGCAAGTGCGAAAAAAGTAATTACCGAGGATTCCAAAGTAACACCTCAGTCGTATGAAGGCGCGAATTGTGATCTCCCGTTTCAGTTAATCATAAGCCATGGGTAGATTCAATCTACCCTTAGCCTAATTTGCATAATTTTTTTTGGTGAGCAAAGCCCGTCATGTTTCTTTTTTTACCAAATAACCGCACAGCAGAACACGTAATTACCTTACGTTCATAATCACAAGGAAAAGATTTATGCATGCTTTGTCTGCATTTCAAAAATGCTTCTTAATACGTCTCCCATGTCGAGCTCCTGCACACGGCATGTGAACGGTTATATAGGGCTATGTAGGGTTATGTATAGGCTTATGAAGGGCTATACAGGGCTATGTGGGGCTATGTCTAGGGTTATGTAGGGCTATGTAAGGCTATGTATGGCTATGTAGGGCTCTGTAGGGCTATGTAGGGCTATGTAGGGCAATGTAGGGCTATTTAAGGCTATGCATGGCTATATATGGCTATGTGCGGCTGTGTATGGCTATGTAGGCCGATGTAACGCTGTGTATGGCTATGTAGGGCTGTGTATGGTTATCTAGGGCTATGTATGGCTGTGTATGGCTATATAGAGCTATGTAGGGTTATGTACGGCTATGTAGAGCAATGTAGGAGTATGTAGTATAGTGCTACAAATAGGCATATTTTTTATTAACTAACGTCAAACCACTAGATGATGGTTACACCACGTACCTACCCAAGTTCACCATGACTGCTGAATACAAGCACCAAAGACGCAATTTAATAGGGCTAACGTCCATTCACAAATTTCAGCGAGAAGAAGATCTTTCCAAAACTGTCCACTTTTCATTTTCAAATTACTACGGCATTGGCAATTTTTAATTCAATATGTACTTTTCCACTACGCTAATTTTGTAGAAAACAGGGGTCAAGTACTATACACCGATTCACTGGTGAACTGCGGTATTTCCTCCGAAGATACAAACATCGATAATTTCTTCTCGTGTTTTAAGCTTCGACTTAATATTCAAAATGGAGGACGATGG